AGCTAAGAACACCACAAAGGCAGAGGCTCTGGCTTCACAGCAGAAGGATGAATCACAGGCTAGCACCGTCCCTTACAAGGCCAGGCTTTACAACTGCCTCTCTAAAGCAGCACTTACAGGGGAGCAGCAGCTCATCGTGAAGGAGGTCTCATTCAGGAGTGTAAGAGCAAGAGCTCTTCATAAAGTATCATATTGCAAGGGTACATAAAGCTCTGAGCAAATGTCACCATTCAAAGCAGTTCCACTCGAGACCCAGCGTTTGGGCTTTTTTGTTCCTACACCCCCTTGAAATGAAAAATACTGTTTGAGATGTTAGTACTCGCACTTATTCCCTCCTAACTCAGAGCAGAGATCTGTTAGAGTTTAGTGCAATTTTCGAGTGTATAAACACTTATTAGTCATATTGCTTGTATTTAAGTTTCCTATGGGGGAGTTGGAGGAGGAAGAAGAAAAGAAATGGTGGGAAAGTGAATAGGACTTTGAACATTTTCCTCCATGATCAGCCCACACTCGCTCTCCATAAATGCTGCATGAAACTGTTTCTAAGTTTCACTTAGGGACCATTAAAATCATTTGTCAGAATACAATCAGTGAAAAATGGATGTGAACAGCAGTGAGAAAAAGCATTACAGGCATAAAAGAAAGGTTTTCTGCTTGCTTCCTTAGGAGGAGACAACTATTCCTCATTTTCCATCATTTCTGTCTGGTTTCTGCCATCAGAAAAACTAAATTATGTTTTCAGCCTTTCAGATCCAACTGCATTATGAAAAGAACAGATGTAAAAGAAGCACCACCTAACTTAATTTTCTTTATTTGCCCCTTACATCTAGCTTTGAATATCCTATGTAGCTCTATTAAACCAGCATTGATGATTTTACAATAAGTGATGTGTAAGAATTCACAGCTGCACACACGTGATTGAGCTTGTCTCCAAATGCCCTTTGCGGGACCAGAGCTCTGAAAAGAGAAGCACTGACTTTGAAAACTGACAACAAGCCAGCTCACACGTTGGCGCACAGGGATTTACACAGGGGCAGCCCAAGCACCTATTTCAGACAACAGTAAAAGTATAGCCGGGCTCCTTTAAATCCAAACACCCTAAGGTGAAAGTATTAGTACCCTGAAGTCTTTATTTTTAAAGCAAGCAGCTGGAGAAGCAAATTTATTGTTGTGACTTAAAAACAGCAGCCAGAAAAGACACGTCACTAACATCCAGGTCAAGCATCACTCGGATGGGAGACGGGCATCTGCTTTGAAGCGCTACGGTCATTTTCCCACAAAAATCACTGGAAACTACAGGTTTACACAGATCTTCTCCAAAGACTTGCTTTTTCCGGATGTTCCTCCTCATCTTTCTTCCATCCCTCTTTTCTGTCACCTCACCTGAGCTCTGCAGGCAAGTGACAAGCCAGCCTGCCTCCGCCATGCATGCTGCAGAACCTGACAAGTTCCTCAGAAGATTCCTTGGGAAAAGCGTAAGGTTCTGACACGCAAATTTTCCTGTGATCTTTAGGTGTTTATGTAAGAGCTCTATAAAGAATCCAAACAAACACGCGCACACACAAAAATATATAGTTTTATTAGGCTCAAATCTCCAGGCGATTCTAATATTCTGAACTACATTCAAAATAATAACAGTAACTAGCCACTCAATGGTGATCTCTTGCAGGGGCAGAAAAGAGGTGGACCTCCAGCAGACACACAGGACTCCACAATATATCTGACAGCCTGACAGCGGAGCGAGTGGCTTCACCAGACCCTGGGAGCCGCCCCGCCGCTGCGGCAGGTACCTTTCTGCTCGTTTATTGCCCCAAGCCAGCACAGTGTTGCTCCACACCTGGCAGTATCACCTTTCACTACAGCCCGGGCTCTGTATCAATAATAGATAGGGGCATTTGTGGGTATCCACTCTGGGATCCTTCAAAGAACATACCTGTCAACAGCCACAAAGGGATTTTTAACCAAATTAGGGGTATTTAGACATATCTATTCAAAGAACAGTATCTTTCCAATGACTTACAAGCAGCAGACAGTTCAGTAAATGGCTGCACACCCCCTTGACGGGAAAGCCAAAAGGAACCGTTCTGCTTCCCTAAGCATCTGCTTGGCCTGAGAGGAAACAGCTCCTCTATGGGCAGGGCCTGCACTCTTCCCATTTCTTTTCACATCCAAGGTGGAGCAGCACTTCCATTAGCAGTAAGGAACCTTCTACAGAAGGGGCTCCACCTTCCACTCTACTTTACACAATCGAAGTGCTCTCTTTATCACCCTTTCCCACCGCCATGCCCATTCCTTCTATCTCTGGGCACAGAAGCCCAGGCTCTCTTACCTTACAATCACTAGGATGACCCTCGATAACGAAATTAAAAACTGCTGAGCTTTCAGAATACACCTGCGCTCTCTGGGCTAGTCTAACTGCTCAGCTAGCTGCTGTGTGCACTGCTTGGCAACAACTCCATCTTCCCCCCCAAATGTATGCCATTTTTGACCTTCAGAAATGGAACTACAGTCGGATCACACATTTGCACTGCCTATCAAGAGGCTACTTAGAATTCTTCTACCAAGGGCCAGCAGTTGATCCCCTGCTTGGTAACCCTGCACAGGAACAGCTTCAGGCGCACAATGCGTTTAGCTTGGGCTCCCGAAGGCTCCTCGCCTCCCTCCACGCCAAGGCGATAGGAAATACAAGACGGGTAGATTAACCCTGCCGAGATGGTGCTGCCACGGCAGAGCCGCTGCAGGCTGCGCCCTGCCAGAGAACCAGGCTCCAGCCGCAGCGCCCTCCGAGCAGCACATTCCTGGAAGCTCGCAGGACTCACACTCCTTATTCTCATTGCACTCCAGCGGGATTTGCCTTTTGGCTCCTCAGAAAGGCTGGAAGCCCACGATCTTCATTCCCGTAGCATGGCTACCAAAGCTGCGCCTTTGGCTAACAGCGGCACACACAGCGCTCAGTCCTGGCTCAGACTGCAAAAATCTGCATATAGCGAGGCAATAATTCCTGTCACGGTTCTCCAGGCCAGCGGTACTGCCCTCTCCCTCCCTGCTGCACTTCCCAAACCCTCCGAACGCCTCTGGGCTGTTGCAGAACGCGCAGCCAAGGGGGCAGCTGCCCAACAAGCGAAGGAGAGGGGATTTTTTATTTTTTTCCGTGCCGTGCTCGGCCCTGTCGGCGGATCTCCGCAGTTGCTAAGGAACTCCCGTTCCACGGCAGTACAAATCACTGGGAGCAGCGCGGGTAGTAGGCGGCGAGTGCCGTGCCATTTTCTCGGGCGCGCTGAGCAGCCCGCGGCCGCCGCCTCCCGCTCAGCGCCCGCCGCCGCTTGACCCTCCTCCCCCG